TTCCAGGTGACCTCCTGCACGACTGTTCCCTGGGCTTCTAGCTCATTTCCAGAGGCCCTTCACCGACCCACTCTTCCTTATTTTTCTTTTTAATAAACTCAGTTGATGTTCAACTGATGAGTTGGAGGCTCACCTTCCTGGAAGGGATCTTAATTCTCTTTTTAAAGATCTTAAAAGCCGATTTTTTCCATTAAAAAATCAGTTAATATTTGAGTGAGACAGAGTCTCTAGGGCAATTATCATGAAAAGATCCCCAATTTGGATTTTTTCTTAATATTGAGTTCTTTATATATTCTGGATATATACGTTAACAGATCTATATAGTGTGAATATTTTATCTTAGACTGTGTCTTGCCTTATTTTCTTAATGGTATCTTTTGAAGAGAAGCTTTAAGTTTTGGTGAAGATCAATTTAACGATTTTTTTTTTTCTATTATAGTTAGTGTTCTTTGGACCTGTCTAAGAAATCTTGGTTTACCCCAATGTAGCAAAGGTTATTCCCCTGTTTTCTTCAAGAAGTTTTATAGTTTTAGCTTGTATGTTTAGGTCTGTGATCTATTTCATGTTAATTTTTATGTATGGGGTGAGGCAGAGGGGTCCAGTTTTATTTTTTTTCCTATATAGATATCTATTTATTCTAACACTACTAGTTGAAAAACTTTTTTTTTCCATTGAATTATCTTGGAACCTTTGTTTTAAAAAAATGAATTGACCACATATATTTAGTTCTATTTCTATACTCTGTTCAGTTTCATCAATCTGTATATCTGTCTGTGCCAATACGACACTATCTTGATTACTATAGCTTTAGAGAAAGTCTTGAAATCAAGTACCATAAGGCTTCAAAGTATTTTTTTTTTTCTTCAAAATTCTTTTGGCCAATCTGTGTACTTAGAATCAGCTTATTAAATCCCACACAAAAAAATGCCTTTTACAATTTTGGTTCATATTGCAAATGAATCAGTAGATCAATTTGGCAAGAATTAAGATCTTAATGATATTGGATCTTCCAGTCCATGAACATATATTTACTTCTCCATTTTTTGAGATTGCCTTTAAATTTTCACAGTAGGGTTTTGTAATATTTTGAAATTTTCCCTAAGTATTTCATGTTGTTGATGCAGTTCTAAACAACATTTTTTATACCATTTTTGTTCTTGGTAAGTATATAGAAATACAATTGATTTTTGTGTATTGACCATGTATCTTGCAGCCTTGCTAAATTCACTTGTTAGTTTTATTAGTTTTTGGTAGATTCCTTAAGATTTTCTAAATACACTATCATGTCATTTGTAGATAAAGACCATTTTATTTATTCCTTTCCAGTGTCTTGCACCAGTATGTTAGCTATAGGGTTTTCATAGATGTCCTTTATCAGACAGAGGACATTTCCTTCTATTCCTAATTTGCTGAAATTTTTCATAATCGCATTTATTAAATGCTTTTTCTGCATCTATCGAAGTAATTATGTGACTTTTAACTTTCATTCTGTTGAAATTGCAGATTAGTTTGAGTTTCAGATGCTGAAAAAGCTTTCATCTTTGAGATAAACCTTACTTGGTCATGATGTATTATCCTTTTGTATACGCTGGGTTTGATTTGCTGATATTTTGGATCCATATCTGGCAGTGGACTGACCAGACCAGGTGGGCAGGTAGGCTGCACCATCCATATAAGGTATTTAGAACAAGTCTGAGCACATTCTGTAGCTATCTAATGTTTTAGTGAAGCCTGCAGATATACTCACAAATCACCTCACCTCCTTTTTCACCCATCCTTTCAAATGTACTGCCACGAAAAACAGTATATGAATACGTAGAGCAAGGTTTAAAGTATGAGTTTGAGAGCAAATATTTAGTTCCTTGAGGGCAGGGACTTTATCTCATTCATTTCTATCAGTATGAGATTAAATTCAACTGGTGTTACAGAGACCCAAAATTAAGGGGCTCATACAGAATGGAAATTTATTCTTCTCTCACAGACCCGGTACTGCTCTCACCCCAAAACGTCCTCATGGATCCAGACTTCTTCTAGCTCACTGCTCTGCTAGTCCAGTGATGTGACCTTAGTTATTCTCAGGGTCTAAAGGGGCTGCATCCACATCCAGTAGCAGCAGATTGAAAGAAGAGAGGAGGAAGAGAAAAAGGAGGAGCAAAGAGAGCGGGCAAGCTAGCAGCTGCCGTGGAGACTTCCACTTGCGTATACCACCGACTAGAACTTAGTTGTGTGGTTATAGCAAGGCAAGGGGTTGAGGAGAAGAAACAGACCAAGTCATTCTTGGTCTGTTGGAAAATCTAACAGTTTTTCATTTAAATGTTTTCTTCTGGAAGTTCCTGAAACAAAGTTATTTGCAACATTTTTGGGGCCTGAGTTTCCTGGAAAAATGAAGTCATGTTAATGAGGACAGTGGAGAAGAAAGGTCATATTAATGTACACAGTAAGCTGTGTGGGTATAAATAGTTTTGGTTTTCATTATCTGTATCCCGAAGACCGCACATGGTGCATGGCACACCGTAACATTTAATATATATCTGTTGACTGTGTATCTTTGCGCCAAAAATAGAAATAGGAAAGGTAAGGATATGTCCCAGATTGTCAAAATGGTAAGATCCAGAATTGATTAGATATCGACTTACTGCCTAAAGTCACATCAGATGTGCTAAAATAAGTCTGTACTGGAGTTCATGGCTACATACAAAGGTAGGTATTAGAGATCAGGAACAGTTGCCTCAAGACAGCAGAGGGCAGGTACATGAGTAGGTATCACCAATTTTATTACACTTTTCCAGGTATTAAAGTTTTACTTGTACCATATTGAGACTTTCCTTACAGCAGTCAGAAAGAATGGGAAAAGATTTAAAGGGCAATGAGTTTTTCATCATGTGATTTGATATTCTTTAGTGCTATGTCATGTACCAATTAAAATCTCATGTACCACCAATAGTACACTCTCTCATTAAGGAAATATACGTAAAAGGAAGATGCTGGACTGAGGTAGTCTGGGTTCTAGTCTTGGTTCCATCACTTTGAGACCTTGGAGATCATTCAACCTTAAGTTGTCTGTCATTTTTTTTTTCACGGACTGTTATGGAATTGATTCTTGAAAGACATAAGCATGTATGAACAGCAAGCTTGAATTATGTGTGCTCGCCTAAGCATTGAACATGAAATGGCTTTGGACAGAAGCTCTGGATACATTTAACTTGGGCCCAGCTGGATGTGGAAATGTGTAGGGACGTGTATGCCATCTGAAGAAATACCTTGCTAAGATGGTTGTAAAAACCGATCAGGTATAAGTC